AATTCTTTCTTATTAATTTCTGTATAAACTTCAGTAATGAAGTCATAAAGATAATAAACTTGTTAAGTTCTTCAAAAACGAAAATCTCTTCAGTAATTCACAACACGGTTTTCTGGCTGGCAAGAGCATAGAAACCGCCCTATTCGAGCTAACCAACATCATATATAACACTATGGAGGAAGGAAATGTTGCATGTGGACTCTTTTTCGACCTATCTAGAGCATTTGATTGTATAAACTTTGACATATTAGAAACAAAGCTGCAACATTATGGAGTACGTGATGTTGCTTTAAATTGGTTCAAATCTTTCTTGAAAGGAAGAAACCACTCTGTGAGAATCGAGGAAAATATATCAGGTAACTTTATACAGTCAGATACTTCAAAAGGGTCACTTGGTGTTCCACAGGGCAGTGTACTGGGACCACTCGTATTTATAATTTTTATCAATGACTTTGCCACACTTGCGGAGAAGAGCAACACAATAATCAACTTTGCAGACGATAGCACAATCCTATTCACCAGAGATACATTTCCTGATCTCATAAAAATTGCCAGTGAGACTATGATTGCAGTTGAAAACTGGTTCATTAATTCTAGATTAGTACTAAACCCTGAAAAAACGAATGCAGTGTTTTTCAAAACCAATCATAGGCTTGGAACTCCTACTCATATCCTAATCAATCATCAAAAAATACCATTTGTAGAATACACTAGATCATTAGGAATAATCGTTGATGAAACACATTTCAAAAAAATTGAGCCAGGCTTGCTATGGCATAAGAATTCTCATGAAGAAACTCTAATTTCAATATAACAAAAACCTTTCATTTTGCTAATCCTTATTCTCGCGCTAGCTATGGTATTATACTATGGGAAAGTGGTGGGGAGGCTGAGAGGGTTTTTGAAAATTCAAAAAAGGGCAATTCGCATAATGACCAATCTGAAATACCATGATTCATGCAGGGGTTACTTCAGAAAAGTTGAACTACTCACTTTTCCAGCACTGTATATATATGAATGCCTCAAATTCTTATATAAAATAGGCATTACTCTGAACCATTCATAATCTCCCACTCTTATGGAATAAGACATATATCTAACTTGAATTTTCCACGTCACCATCTGTCGTCGACTGAAAGAGGTGCTTTGTATTCAAGCATTAAGTTTTTCAACCATCTACCTTCAGCCATTTAAAATAATAATAATTTCAATGAAATAAAAAAAACACTTATCACAATGCTTCTGGATCTAGAACCTTAATCAGTAGACGAATACCTCCATTTTGTGTTCTATAATAAATAGCATATATTTTCGTATATCGTAAATATATTCATATTTATTATGACCTTCTCATGTTTGACTGGCTTGTACATCCTTTTATAGTTTAAGTATCATAGTGCAATAAAGGTTATTATTATTATTATCATTATTATTACACCTGTTTGGGAAATGTTCATTTCACTAACTCACTGTAGAGTGGCGAACAAAAGATTTTCATTTATAAAAACGAGTAATGAAATAAAATGTTTGTAGCTTTGGCCGAAGATGATTCCGCAAGATGTGCTGTTTCCGTTTCCTGGTCCCCTTTGTGACTGGGCACCTACACTAACTTGATCTGTGGTGGCAGATCGCCTCGAGTGCTGCTTGGATGTCCGAGTAGATGCAGATTTTCCGCTCCGGTCCCTCTTTTACCTCCTGTCTCGTTGCTGCGGACAGGATGACATGAACTTTGGATTGAAAAACTGTGGTATATCCTCCTAGAGCCCAACTATCTCTGATACCCCCTTATTCTAGGTCGATACCTGCGCTTGTTTGTCGTTCAGGCGAGAATCATCTGTGTAACATACCGAGTGTTTTGGAGATAATGATAGTGGACTGTATGTGAGATGTGAGAATCTGAATTTGAGCAATGCGAAAATACGCTTCAAGAGAAAATACAAATGAACAAAAAAAAACGAGGCCGTGATTTTCCTACCTGGTTGGTCCGATGTTTCTTCTGACGTCTGGCAGAACTAAGTATTTGCTGAATCGTGAATCCAGGTGCACATAAGAGGAGATAGCTGATGAGGAAACTGATAGGTTTTCACTCGCGCGCGCGACCGGCAGAAATTTTCATATGAGCAAGAGAATACCGAATTGTCTGGTATTTCGAATCGATATCGATCGCGATCAATTTTGGAGTGTCTAGGTGGATTCGAGACGATCCGTCCCAAAAAATTACAGCGTTGCCACGTGTCGTATCCATATTTTCTTCTTTCTTGAGATAAGTATGGAAAAGCACGACCATGATCGCGATTTGAGACTCAAAGAGAAATATGAATGTAACTTAAAATAACTAATTGAATATATACCTATACTAATAATGGAATGGTGTCGGAACATAACCGCCCACCTAAAGTGCAGAAGGCACTTTAATTTTCAAGAGGTTCATCTAATGGTAAGGGACAAACCTTAACCACTGGACGTTTCAAAGTTCCCTGATTTGTCCGTAGTGTAACCACTCGAACTACACCGTCGGTACCTGGATGGGTTTCTATCACGCGAGCAAGTTGCCAATGCGAAGGAGGCACGTTGTCATTCTTTATCAATACAAGAGCCCCTATTTTTATATTGGGAGATGAGCTGGTCCACTTTCCTCGTTGCAGTAGAGTGTGGAGATACTCAGATTTCCATCGCGACCAAAAGTCCTGATGTAGTCGTTGAATTAACTGCCAACGGGAAAGTTTATTCAGTTTGAGGTGAGTTAAGTCATCATCTGGAAGACTGTTCAATGGCTCCAGGGTTAAAAAATGACCGGGTGTCAGTGCCGAGAGATCATTCGGGTCTGAACTAATTGGGCAAAGAGGTCTCGAGTTAAGAATTGCTTCTATCTGAATAAGAAGGGTATTGAATTCTTCGTAAGTGAGAATTTGCTCGCCAAGAATTCTGGAAACATGAAATTTCACAGATTTGATTCCTGCCTCCCAGAGCCCTCCAAAATGAGGACTAGAAGGAGGAATTGTGTGCATTTGCAGAGATTCCTGTTCAACAGCATTTTTCATCATGACCTGAAGTTGTTTGAACGCACCTTTAAAATTTGTGGCATTATCACTGTAGATATAGCTCATGCGCCCCCTTCGAGATATGAATCGTCTTAAAGCTGCGAGAAAGGTGTCAGTTGATAAATCGGTGGCCAACTCAATATGAAGAGCTTTGGTCGCAAAACACACAAACAAACAAATATATGATTTGTGAGTTTTCGCACCTCGAATTTTTCCTAGAGTGATAGTATAGGGCCCGCCGAAATCTACGCCAACGCAGGAAAAGGGCTTGATTTGGGAAACTCTGAGAGGGGGCAAAGCACCCATGGGAGGTTGTAAGTTTGTGGGATTTTGCTTCCAACAGATATGGCATTTTGACAGAACGCTACGAATAGTTCTTTTGGCTGACAGAATCCAAAATTTTTGTAGCAACAAAAAATGAAGGGTCTGAAAACCAGGGTGAAAATACATCTTGTGAGTCATTTCAATTAGGAGTTGAGTAAATCGATGTTTACTGGGAATCAAAATAGGATGACGTTTGTCATACGAGAGATTAGAATGAGTTAAACGACCGCCCACCCTCAGAACACCTTCTTCATCGATGAAAGGGTTCAATCGCCGAATATGTTTAGAAGTGAGTTGTTCACTTCGTATAAGTGATAACTCTTCAGAAAATGTGGTAGACTGAACGTATTTTATGAGGGATATAAGAGCATGATGAAGCTCTTTGCTAGTAATAGAGATACTTTGAGGCCTTGAATGAGTAGCAAAACGATACATGTATGAAATGATGCGCTGGATTTTCAACAGCGATGAAACATTGGTGATGAGCTGATCATAGGGATGAGTTACAAATTGTGTGAGAAGAACAACACGTTTTTCTTCTTTGGAAATATTTTCTTTCGAAACAGTAGGAGGATCAAATGAGGGAATTCCAGATGTATTACACAACCAATCTGGCCCCGCCCACCATAGAGGATGGTGGAGAAGCTGTGAAGGAGATAACCCTCGAGAGGCACAATCCGCAGGATTGTCTTGAGATCGAACATACTTCCAGATATTGGGCGGTAATTTATCCTGAATCTGAGCTACGCGATTGCTCACAAATGTCTGATATTTATATGGAGGGGATTTTATCCAGATCAGTAACTAATTGAATATATACCTATACTAATAATGGAATGGTGTCGGAACACCGAGCTCACTGGCAGAAGATTCGTATCTTTTTTTCACTCCTCTCTGCTCGAAATTGTGAGGGAGAATCTCTCATTTCATCGCAGCCTGTCCTGTGCGTATTTAATTCTAAGACAAAAGATTAGGGGACTCATGTTCCACCCTTTTAGCAATTGCCGCACGTCCTATCAGTCTTCCTTTGTTCATCAATTATTTTGAGTCGCGCATCCTCAGGTAAGGTGCCATCGCTCTCGTAATTGCTATCCTCTGAGTCTGAACCTTGCCTAGCTTTTGAGCTAGCTAGTCTCCACCCGCTGATCCGTACTGGATTTTTGGCCTAACGACTGCCGTATAGAGCCAGCGCATAATCTCAACGTTGATCTTCCTGTGAATGTGTTAACCTTAGAATTTGTCAAAAACACTCTGTACTCCGCCTCCTCATAGGAGTACAACAGGCTAGGCAGACACCTATCACTTGTGGGAATAGAGGACAACCCCACTTGCCGCAGATGCGGGGAAGACGAGGAAACGCTACTCCATTTTCTCGGCGACTGCGAGGCGTACGGAAGGCTGAGATTTGAAATCTTTGGAGTAGACAAACTCCAACAGAAGGACTTGATTATATTATAGTGGACGGACATATTGGCCTCCATCAAAAGTTCAGGGAGATTATTGAAGGAAATCTAGGTGATGGAAGCGTAGATATGTAGAGAGCAGGGGTTAGCTAGCAAAAAAGGCCCATCGGGGCCTACTTGCTTGGCTACAGCCTCCCCACCTACTACCACTACTACTGTAAAAAACACTCACCTGTGAATCATATCTGTTTTCGTCATTGTAATCTGCAACGGTGGACTGCTGGTAGTATTCTGGCTGATTGTAGTTATTTTCGATGAATACCGTGTTACCTCTTTTGGGTATTTCATTCTTGACAGGCGTTACGGTCGTTGTAACGCCACGATAGGATGGGCTCTGAGAATTCTGAGCACTGTTATAATCCTCGTTGGATGGAAATTCTGAAAGGAATGCTCTGATTTAGATTCTTTGATAGCCTACCTAAGAGTGAGTTTACTGCTAGGGCTAGATAGATGAATAGACTTATTTCAATTTCTGATTTCAAATAACCTGCAACCCGAGTTTTGTTATGTGAAAATTAGATTATGACTACGACAACTTTACAAAATATTATTTTCTCTCACCAAATGATGATTTGTATCGAAATTGAATCATTTTCAGCGAGTTTTGCTGGGTGTTCAGGCAAAGTCGAGAAGAGCATTATCATTTTTCTGGGATTCTGGAGGATATGAACAACAGATTGAGATAATGTGGACTGAAGAGTCGATATTTGAACGACCCAAGTCATCAATTACCTATCACGGAAATTACCAAACTACTATCATTGACAACTCAACCATTCCATCATCGTCATCAACTGAATAACGTTCAAAACGATACAAATTCAATAACCATTTAACCGTTACAACAAATTATTGACAACCAACAATCCAAAGCTACAGTCTTCTTTAATTTTGATAGTAACTCAATATTCGAAACGTATTGAGGATAACGAGATACTGATTTATGCGATATGTATCTAAAAATTATCGAAAACTATCGAATTATGTAGGAAAAAAACAGTGAGGGCAGAGGCAGAGGGTGTGGTAGGCAATAATATAATAATGATTGTAGTAATGATACAATAATGGATATTTGACTGATGATATTGGATTTTTGACTGAATAAAATCGGAGATAAAAAGATGGAAATGAATAGTAGAAAATGATCCTGCCACCTTGAGCCATATAATTAAGCCGTTGATGAGTTGAGTCCTTGATGATTTGACACGATGATGGGTAAGATATTGATGAGTTGGTTCGTTGATGAGTTTCGTCAGCTGATGAGTTAGGTCGATGATGAGATGGATCCATTATCAGTTGGGTCTTTCATGAGTTAATTCGTTGATGAGTTGAATCGTTGATGAGTTATGTCGGTTGATAAGTTGGGTCGTTGATGCTTTGACTCGTTGAGGATCTTGGTCGTGGATTTGGAAGATTGACATGAGTTGAATCGTTGATCAGTTGACCGTTGACGAAATGAGTCATTGATGAGTTACTCTGATAGCACACAACGTCCTAGGGACGTCCCTATTTGGTAGAATTCAAGTACGAATGTCCCGGACCAAAAATAAGTGTCCTTGGGACGTCCCATTCCGTACATCTCATGCAATGTCCGAGCAAGGACGTCCACGGAATGTCCCAGCTGGTACATCATTCCAAATGTCCTAGAAATAGCATCCCTTAGACGTCCCACGTGGTACATATTGTAGAATGTCCATGCATTGACGTCCTTGGCATGTCCCTGATGCGATATGATTTTGAACGTTCCTTTAGGGACATCCATCGGATGTCCCGAGTAGTACATATTCTGGCATGACTTCAGATCCTATTAATTGTCTCTTCTAGACAACCATGAAATGTTCCTGATATCACATTCCTCCAAATATCTCTGCACAGACGCCCTTAGTATTTCCAGGATCGTATAACAATCGAAATTTCCCTTAGGGACATCCTTCGAATGTTCCTTAGGGATATCCGTCGGATGTCCCAATTGGTACATGAACTGTACTCTCCCAATGTCCTAGAAATAACGTCCTACGGACGTCCCAGTCGATACTTTCAATATGTTGTCCCTGCGAGGACGTTAACTTACACCTCGCCGACGAATGATTGCTCGTAGGCTATAAATACTTCTCGTCAATGTCCTTCACGTAAGTCCATTGGACATCCTTGGGAAACTTTTTCAGGATCTATTGGGGACCGTCTACGGACCATCAACTCAACTGGATGTCTTCATCAGTTATGCAAGATCTGGTCCTAGAGGGACCCAGAAAAATTCAAATTCAAGAATGATTGGTACGTCCCTGGGACATCCTATGGACATCCAATTGATATCCCTCAGCGTTGCTGATAGGTTGTCCTACGGATGTCCTAAGCATGTCCTCCGTATTGTTTGATAAAGAATACTGAAGGATTCAGTTATTCGATAGTTGTCCCAGGGACATCCCTCAAGGACGTCCCTAGTTGGTCCTCAAGTGGGACATTTGTGCGTCCCACATACGTCCAATGGACGTCCACGGTATCAAATTCGAACGTCCTATGGATGTCCTGATTGTCCTAAGGATATCCATGGGACATAATTGTGTTATTGGAGTAGGTCGTTGATGAGTTGGCCAGTTGACCATTGATGGATTGAATTGTTGATGGATTGGACCGTTGATGAGTTGGGTCGTTGATGAGTTGACCGTCGATGAGTTGGATCGTTTGTAAATTGGGTCGTTGATTGTACGTGAATAAAATGAGTCATTCATTGGTTAGGTCTTCGATGATTTGACTGGCTTCAGAACCCCACAGTTCATTGAATGAGATCGATATTATTATACTCACCATCATCTCTGTAAAGTTCAGCATCATCTTCATAATACGCATAATACGGTTCATATCGATTGTCATTATATTGAGTTCCATTTTGAATTTGTTTTCTGGCTGGTACCGCTGCAGCAGTTTTCTCTACACTGTGAAAAATAAAGATTTGAATATACACATGGAATAGAGTTGAGGAGATATTGTCAAATTATGATCAATTCCTGTTGGTTAGATGAAAGGAAGCAAAGTTTTTTTCTCAACATTTTTTTTACATTTTTCCCACAACATTCTTGATTCGTTTTTATGTATGAACATTTCGAATCCAAGGAAGATCAAAATTTCCCCTTGAGTTGATCTATTTTAATGAATTTTTGAAATAATGTTCAGCACAAAATATTTTGTCTACTCATATCGATTACACTCATGATACACCTTTATTCTATTTATTCATGAAGGCACTATAACTTGCACATTCGAAATCATAACTCACTATTTGGACAATTGAAGTGCGATTGTGTATATTTCTTTCAATAAAATTATCGGTTAGCAAATAAATTGATACAAATGGCCTTTCCGAAGAGAATGGAGTTACCAAACATGTTTTTTTCCATCCAATAGTGAGCTTTGATGAAAGTTCAATATAAATATGAAATACAAAAACTTCTTGATCCTTCTCAACCTCCAACAAACCTCCAAAGTATGAAATGAATATGAATTACCTGTATTGTTGGTTATGTGTCCCAAAAGAGATCACGCCGATTTTATCTCCTCTTCCACTGAAACTCTGAAATAGAAATAATCTCATGAAAAAACAAATAACTGATGGGGAAAAGTTCATGTACAGAAAGTTTTCGAGGAGAAAGCATTCAATGAGGTATCATAGGTTGATATGAGAGTGATGTGTAACCTATCATTGAGTAGCACGTGCGCTGAGTTGCTGCGGTTGGAACTATAAAAATCAAATCAATAGTATTTCCTCGTATCAAATCAACAAGGAGTGTAATGGAATCCATTGAGTTGAGTGCCATTTGAAAACTGTGTATTACAATCTTGTGAGTTTTGCTCTTTATTCTCTGTTATAATGGAAAGTAGATCTCACAAGATTCCGCGCAAGGGCGGAGACGAACTGCTCACACAAATAAAGTCCTTTGTTACGACTTTATGTACATCTGATGAAAATATTGATAAAATATCGAAAACCATAGCCGATAATATCAGTTAGAGATTCAAAGATGACATTCAGAAGTTGGAGGATGAAAACTCACGGATAATGAAAAAACTTGAAGAACAAGAAAGGGTCATAGACAGTTTAGTAAAACGAAAGGAAAAGCAAGATGAGACCTTCAGGAGTCATAATGTCATTGTTTATGGTGTGAAGGTAGATGATGGAGAAAACTGTAATAAGTTGGTGATGGAAATACTCACAGGAAAAATGAAGTTGAATGTTAAAGAAGAAAATAGCGAATCGTGCTTTAGGATTGGGTTGGGATGACAAACATCAACTGGACCAGGCATACATTGATACGATTTTTCACCAGGTACTACAAGGAAATGATCCATTATAATGAAAAAATTCTGAAAGGGACAAAACTCGTCATTACAGAGGACTTGGCGCCTGATGGCAAAATCAAAGTATCGAAAGCAGCGTTGGGAAAAATAGCGAAAATGGGGAAGGTATTGACAAATCATGGTAACGTGTTCGTCAGGCGTTATAACTCTGATCGAATCATAAAAATCGTCAGAGCCGAAAATATTGATGGAATTCAGCTATTGTCCTTTTCTTTTTTCACAAATCATGCTCTGCTCATATGTTTCACCTTGTTTGTTCTCTCGATCTGTACTTGTTCTAGAAATACTCATTTACTTATTTTCAAAATACATTTTGTCGCAATGTCTTCGTTGTTGTTATTATGTGTACGTCGAGTGAATTTGAGATAAGATCGATCTCGCAGCACCAGCAAAATGTGCAATTGAGTTGTTTCTTGGTGCTTCTTTCTGCCAGGTTTCATTTATGTTATCATCAAGGTTCTCTTTCAGTTGCTTTCTTCTGCTCAATTTCTTTCTAGGTATTGAAAGGTAGTGTATATTGTTGGTTATTGTGAATGCATTCTCTAAGGATTGGGTTCGCTGAACACTACACTGAGAGAAACTGGATATTAAAAATATCTACCAGCTCTGATTGTAATAACCATTATAAGGAAATCTCCTATTCCTGATCATTTTATTATTACAACAGTATTCTCTCCATTCTGTAATTATAAAAAGCGATTTCTTAACTCATTTGTAATTCCCTTGAATGGACATTTGCTACCATCATAACGCAGGTGTGTTATGACATTATGAGAATTTTATAAATTCCAGTCTATTTAGATTTTTTATTGACATAGCTCGTTTTGTGAATTATGCTCATTGGTAAATTCAGATAATGTTTGTCCCAATAATCATAGCTGTTTGGATTTCTAGCATTGTACGTTGACAAATAACTCTAGCAATTCACATGTATGACGGTTATAAGGCAATCATTCGACAATCGTATTTCGGCTCATTTCGCTCTAGTGTTTCATCAGTATTGGGGCTGACAAAGATACAGATCGCGTTCATTTCACTGCTGTTCTCGGTCATGGGTGCCCGTGTTCAATTATTGTTCAATGGTTTCGATCGTCTGAATCGATAGAGCCGTGTCTTGTAGGTGAATTTGTGTGATGTAGCAAAGTTTTGTTTTAGTGCTGGCTGTGAACCGATCTGTGGAATACACCGTGCATTGCATTATTGCAATGAAAAAAGTATTCTCCATACCCACTTTTCACGGCCTAAAATTGGTTTATTTCAAAAACAAAATGATCGATCAGATTCTGAATCAAAATATCTGGGTTTCTGTTAGGGAAGTTTTATTGACAATTCTCATCATAACTCCGAAGGAAGGGTAAATATAAGTATTCTACTTCTCATTTCTTAATAAATTAGTCAGTAATGCATATAGATGATATTTCTCCAAAAAATCAATGAGTAATGTCAAAAAACTTCGACAGATACCCAAATATTTCAATTCAGAGACTAAACGTATTTTTTTGTTTTTTTGAAAACAATAACTTTGGAACATGAAAAGTGATAGTGTGGATAGGATATTTAATTTCATTGCAGTAATTCAAAGCACGGTTTCATAATAATGTTGATTAGCTATATTACAATAGCATGTCAAAATGTCAGGTTTTATGCAGATATCAGATAACTATAATAAAATGAGACGTATTACTGCGTTACCTCAAGATGGTTGTGCCAGTAATGAAAACATGCTGTTTTATGTCGATAGTCTAATAATCACTGTAGAGTGGAGAGTTACTGCAACATATTATGGGAATAATTCCTATTCGACATTCTGTGTTATCATAGAAATTAGAACAAGTAGTAGTTATTCAGCAGCGGTGTTTTTATTTTTATACAAGTTTGCAAATTGAATAAGCTGCCATAACTACAAGTCACCTGAGAATTCACTTCATCTATGGTAGCAAATGAACACATCTGTCCCCTATTTATTGCAGATATCTTAATAACGGTTATCAGATTTCCAATTATGATAACTCAAGTTTTCTCTCAGTGTAGATCATTACTTCCCTCCATACACGATGCCACACAAGTTATTTCACAAAATGATTTTGACATCTCTTCAAATTGCGAGTCCTGGTTGAAAAGTTCTACTGACAATTGTTCTTTGAATATTAGAAACAATAGCCTAATAAGAGTCGACAGAAATCGTAATGGTGTAGGTTTATGTATTTATATTAGAAATTGAATCCACAGCGAGACAATCATCACCAGGAAGGATTATATCTTCGAACAACTTTGGATAAAGGTCAACCTGAATCAAAAACCTCACGCCATAGGAGTTGTTCATGAACAAAACACGAGTAGTTTTTTGAATGAATTCATTTCTATATATCCTACAGTTGATAATGTTATCTGCATGGGTTATTTCAACTTAAATTTCGATTTTGAAAATGCAAACGTGAATAAGTTCAATTCTGTCTTGGAGTCACTGAATTTGTGTCAACTAATTGATGAATCTACCAGAATCACGGCATCATCTGCTACACTTTTGAATTACATAATAGCCAAAGAGGGTTTTGAATGTGAAAAAGGCATCATGGATCTAGAATCACACTGAGAGAAAACTTGAGTTATCATAATTGGAAATCTGATAACCGTTATCACGATATCTGCAATGAATAGGGGACAGATGTGTTCATTTGCTACCATAGATGAAGTGAATTTTCAGGTGACTTGTAGTTATGGCAGCTTATTCAATTTGAAAACTTGTATAAAAATAAAAACACCGCTGCTGAATAACTACTACTTGTTCTAATTTCTATGATAACACAGAATGTCGAATAGGAATTATTCCCATAATATGTTGCAGTAACTCTCCACTCTACAGTGGTTATTAGACTATCGACATAAAACAGCATGTTTATATTACTGGCACAACCATCTTGAGGTAACGCAGTAATACGTCTCATTTTATTATAGTTATCTGATATCTGCATAAAACCTGACATTTTGACATGCTATTGTAATATAGCTAATCAACATTATTATGAAACCGTGCTTTGAATTACTGCAATGAAATTAAATATCCTATTCACACTATCACTTTTCATGATCCAAAGTTATTGTTTTCAAAGAAACAAAAAAATACGTTTAGTCTCTGAATTGAAATATTTGGGTATCTGTCGAAGTTTTTCGACATTACTCATTGATTTTTTGGAGAAATATCATCTATATGCATTACTGACGAATTTATCAAGAAATGAGAAGTAGGATACGTATATTTACCCTTCCTTCGGAGTTATGATGAGAATTGTCAATAAAACTTCCCTAACAGAAACCCAGATATTTTGATTCAGAATCTGATCGATCATTTTGTTTTTGAAATAAACCAATTTTAGGCCGTGAAAGGTGGGTATGGAGAATACTTTTTTCATTGCAATAATACAATGCACGGTGTATTCCACAGATCGGTTCACTTCAGCCAGCACTAAAACAAAACTTTGCTACATCACACAAATTCACCTACAAGACACGGCTCTATCGATTCGGACGATCGAAACCATTGAACAATAATTGAACACGGGCACCCATGACCGAGAACAGCAGTGAAATGAACGCGATCTGATCTTTGTCATCCCTAATACGAATGAAACACTAGAGCGAAATGAGCCGAATTACGATTGTCGAATGATTGCCTAATAACCGTCATACATGTGAATTGCTAGAGTTATTCGTCAACGTACAATGCTAGAAATCCAAACAGCTATGATTATTGGGACAAACATTATCTGAATTCACCAATGAGCATAATTCACAAAACGAGCTATTTCAATAAAAAATCTAAATAGACTGGAATTTATAAAATTCTCATAATGTCATAACACACCTGCGTTATGATGGTAGCAAATGTCCATTCAAGGGTATTACAAATGAGTTAAGAAATCGCTTTTTATAATTACAGAATGGAGAGAATACTGTTGTAATAATAAAATGATCAGGAATAGGAGATTTCCTTATAATGGTTATTACAATCAGAGCTGGTAGATATTTTTAATATCCAGTTTCTCTCAGTGCATTCTATGGTATTCTGTAAATTCCAAACTGATACTAATATACTCACTGGCAGGTTCAAAAATTATAACTTACAGGAACTTTAAAAATTTTGACGAAGACAGTTGTCAGCACGATCTCTTTAGCACATCATTTTTCAGGATATATAACCAAGACTTTGTAGATGAT